GAAAGATTTTTATAACGATAACATTTCACATGAATTAAAAGAAATTTTCTAATGAAATTTAGTTTATACTAATTTACAAGTAGATATGAAAGAAATTCTGTTTTGGGGTGAACATAAAGGATTTAAATATTAAAATCGGTTGGATTCAAATACATGAATAATAGCAGATAATAACAATATAAATAATAAATGTAGAATCACGTTATCATAATATAAAAAAAGAGATAGTGCGCTTAGTCCACGTTTTTTATAATTTTTTTTTATACAATAGCTTTTAGATATTGACGTATCGCCAACGAACAAAAGGATATGATTGATTGCGCCAATTAGCATGTATCGACTTATCAAAAATAAAATAGTGCATTTATCCACAAATATTCATATATTGACATGTATGTAACACGAGTAGTAATCGTCGTCTACCCATGCAGAAATCCTTCAACGATTTGTAAAAAAAGATTTTATAAAAAAAAAAAACGAGAATTGGCACGTGTAGAAAGTGTGTGAGAAATCTTTTACTGGAAGATGTTCAAAAAGATGTTCATCAGAAGCATTGAGGCGAACCTTTGCGGCTAATTTACAGATTTCCATTTTTTTTTTTTTTTATAATTTTTTTTTGTCATACACATTATGCAAAATTAATATATATATACATAATAACAATTATTTAATCATTGTATTATATACGAAGCTTTCTGCTTTAGTTAGTTCGTTGGATTATGTAACTGGTGGTTCGTGTGATATGTTTGTTATTTGGAATTTTTGTGTACGTATTCTGTCACAAAACTACAACTACTATATTTAATTACATACTTAAATACATTTATTTAATTTTAAACTGGTTTTTTTTTTTTATAAATTAAATAGGAATAGTGAAATTTATATAGATGGATAAAGTAGTTAGAATAATAAATTTGTTTGCTTATTGTGTTTTTTTTTTTTTTTTTTCTTTTTTTTTTTTTTTTTAAGCGGAAATATTCTTTATTACATTGGATAACCAAGAATGTAATGGATTATATGCAATTAAGTTATAATATTGGGGGAGAGTATTAAAGTAGTTAAGATTAGTTAAGATTAGTTAAGATTATTTAAAATATATGTTTGGCTTAACGCCTTAAATTACCAAGTTTGAATATTTTTTTGATTTCATTCAGTAGGAACCAATTTTATGAAATTAATAAATATAAACAAATTGAAAATTTCGTTAGAACGAAAACCGAACAAAGTGATAAAGTTTCATTTAATCAAATAGAGTATCATTTATGTAATACCAAAATTGATAAACTTTATAATTTGATCTTTTTATATATATGCTGGAATCTTTATCCGAAACATCAGTGAAAAGGCAATATATAAATATATATATATAAAGTCGATCTATCTAAATGAAGAAAATTAAGTTGAACTTTTGACGTTACTGATTGTAAAAAAAAAAAAAAAAAAAGCACAGGTAACCTATTTAGTTATTTGAACAAACCCCTTTGCTGCGGAAGTTCGTAATGATTGCAGCCATTGTCTTTGTTTTAGGTGTACACTAAGTATGAAATGCGCATCAAGATTGGATAAAAGCAGATAACAGGTATATATGCCATTATATTATTTTAGTATTTATTTGTGTAGTTCATTTTGTTATCTGATATTCCTAAACATTTAATCAAGGAAGGATAAACAAATTTTGGTGAACCCTGATTTGATGCTCAAACAAGTAATGCAATGCGAAATATACGTTCCTTCCTGCAAATTGACATATTTTAACAATGACAACATTCAATAAATGTGAATACAAGAAGACACAGCTTTAATTCATAGTTTTATATGTACATTTTTTTTTTTTTTTTTCATATAATTGATCATATAATAAATGATTCACATACTTATATACTGAATTCTTGATTATTTTTTTTTTTTTTTTTTTTTTTTTTTTTTATATACAAAGTCTATATCTATAATAAAAAAAAAATCTAGTCTACACTTAATTATTCTAAAAACTTAATTGTTAATACTTAATTATTTTAAACTTATTCTAATTTTTTTCATATGTATATATATGTTTTTTTTTTTGTATATATCTGACTTTTTTAAACTAGCAAAAGCAAAATGTCAACAAAATGTCATCATAATGCTGTGTCCAACATCGTCCATAACTTCAACGGCGTACCCCACACTTCAATATTATCAAACGTTATCTGCATCTTAACAATGCTGACGTTTTCGATTATCAATCCTATAAGCCCAAGATTCTAATTTATCACTAATACGAATTGGTAGACAATTATATATGCTAACACGCCTTAATCTTTTGCTATGAGAGTTAACTAAAGGAGAAATCATAGCATTATCCAGGTTACAACAATCAACCATATCTATTCTTTCTAATTTTGTACAATATTTCAAAGTGTCCCATTTACAACATCCATCAAAATCGACACCTCGAAATCCAACATGTCGTAATGAATGTTTTTGTTTCGCCAAAGAAGGAATTATAATGTTTGTGAATGTTTTACATCTTGATAAAATTATACGTTTAAGTCCTCGTTGACGTTCTATGAGTTTAGCAAGTTTTTTTGCAACGAGCATTGAAGATTCATCATTCACACTCAAGTTGTTTACTCTAATTGTGTTCTTTAATTAATAAAAAAAAAATTAGGATAATATTAGTAAATTATATATATATGTTTTTTTTTTTTTCTAATTGATATAAAATTAATATAATTACAAAAAAAAAATAAAAATAAAAAATAAAAAAAATAAAATTGATATATTACCAAATGCCGGCATTGTTTAACAAACGCGTTCAAAAGATTAACTTTTGGACTATTTTCAGCCATTTTTAGTCTATCGATTGAATAACAATTGATATTTAAATTTTTTAATGGTATTATCAAAGGAAAAATTGTAGGTTCAGCCAATAGCATATATTTCTCTTCACAACTAGTACTTCTAATACTAAGGGTGTTTAAATGAGTAGACCTTGCAACAAATAATTTTAAAATTGATCGTAAAATTGCTGAAATACTTTCTTCCGTATTATCATCCAAGTAATATATACACCAGTTTTTGACAAATGAAATCATTTCATAGTAGTCAATATTTTTTAAAAAACTTGGATAATTAAAAACGGGTAAATCGTATTTTTTTCCTCCAGGGACATATACACCATCGTTATATAATTGTTGACGTTCAGAATCATTAAGACAAGAAAGGAAAGTTTGAATTAAAAGTTTTCCACCTTTTTTATGACAACGATGAAAAGGATGACGCCAAAGGATGGGTATAACACTTTCACACCAATGACTATTTACTAGTAAACATGAATGTAAATTGCTAAAGGTTTTAGGACTTGGTGAACCAAGATTTTCATCTCGGTCATCCAAATATTCAAAAACTTCTGAAAGAATATCGGATATCAACATCAAAAAATTTTGCTCTATAAATTTATATATATATATATATATATGTATACTTTTAATAATGTTTCTAAAAAAAAATAAAAAAAAAAAAAAATTAATTTTTTTTTTTTTTTGACAAGCTGTCAAAGGAATAAAAAAAGAAAAAAAAAAGCAAAGGTCTATTTATTTTATTACAACATTTTTTTTTTTTTTTTTTTTTTGAGCAGTAAAAGTGCTCGGACAATGTTTGTTAAATCAACAATAATTTATTCAATTTATTCAATTTATCAGGTTTATGTAATAGCGCGCTAAGATACACAAAGTTACCATAAATATAATGTCAGAATGTAATCTAATACGAGATTGAAAAAAAAAATACAGTATTTCACAATACAATTTTTTTTTTTTTTTTTTTTTTCTTCTTAAATCGATATATAAAAGATTAGCAATACATATACTATATTAGATAATCAAACAGTTGAATAGGATTAGTTTATGTGGCAAAATGGAGGGGACAAAGACTTACAAGAAGAAATTGATCCTCAGCCCGCGCCAAAGTTTTTTATATGATAATTTTTTTTTTTTTATGCGGGGTAAAATAGGTCAGGTGGTCATTGTACATACTCCACCAAGCTCAATGTAGAATCATAATAGTTTTTGATAATGGGCGTTTTTCCTTTTCTTGACGAATCAATTTTTTTGATTTTTTTTTTTTTACATTTATTTTTTTTTTTTAAAAAAAAAATACCCTTAGCATTTGGAAGAGAATAATCCGTACCTGACTATTAAAGAAGAGAAACATAGTAATATAAATCTACTTTCATAATTGTTGTACATGAATGCGTGTGTAATGTCACAATAAGTCTTTTAAAATTGTTAGATCTTTCTCTGAAATCCCAAAAAAAAAAAAAAAAAAAAGACTTACTGAAAAGCGTAATGCATCTACAAGGACAAAAAGATGCCCCTGCATCAAAAATTTACTTTTGCCTAAACTGCATCGGAAGAATGATTCTTTTGTAACCTATTATTAAAACTGTCAATTTTTCTTGACAGTTTTGAAATTTTAAAAAAATAATCATGAAATTTATTTTAGTAACACCTTATCAGTTATCAATTTTGTTCTGTCATTACAGATTACGTGTACCGTACGTACGTACGTACCTATGAATTCTATCAGAATGATCACCGTGAACTTTACTGATGATCGTAATGCAAGGGAAAAAAATGCGTTAATAGACGACTGCAGTGATACAGTTTATGAACAAGTAAGAAAGATGCCCATATTCTAACAATGGAAATTGTGGGGCACAAACAAAAATTTTTTCTTTCTCTTTTATGGTGACTAAATTTGATTCTAATATCAACTTCTGTTGTTTCGGAATTAATTACAAACTCTCTACTCCACAAACATTATTAATAATCATAACAAGAACACAATTGTTATACCAAAATATTATATGAACTTATTAACATTTTCGTTTCTCTCTTCTTCCTTTTAGAGGACATAACGATAATTAAAGAAAAATAAAACCTTGTTTTGGAATTTGGTATTTCATATCTTAAATTAGAAATGTTCCGTATTGTGATTCAATGTTACATATTTCCCGTTCTTTACCGATATAAGTTTCTGATTTTTGACATTAATATAAATACAACATATAGTTATATATAGATTTATAATCGTAATACGTATTTATTTTATTTAAATGCAAAACTGATGTTCTTTTTCACGTGATTTTAGTTGAAAGACAAGGGAATTTTGAGAAAAGATTATCATGTAAAAAAATTTTCCGTTTTTTTTTTACAACTCCGAAAAAAAAAACGGCTTTAAACGAAAATAACATCCGGATATAACAATAAATCTTCAATAATATATGTTGCGTTACGTTTTATGTTATGTATGTATGTATGTATGTATGTACTAAAATTAGTTTATTATTCATAGTCAAATTGTTGATCAATAACATTTTTTTATCCCTTCTTTTTTACAATAAACAACGGAAAATATATGCGTCTATATAAACTTGATTATATGCGTTTTTTAGTATATTATTAAAAAAGAATATCTGATATATAATTTATATAAAATATTTTCCCGATATAACTTTTATCCATATGAAAAATTATAAATACTTTTGAAATTTGTGACATTAATATAAAATCATATGTTGTGCATTTAAATTTATAAAAGGAGAGAAAACATATTTTTTTCTAATTAAATTTTTTTTTTTTAATATACTAAAAATGTTATGTTAAATAAATATTTTGTTACATTAATTTTCATGAGATCGAACTTATGTAATAGCAGATTAATCATCGGTGGGAGAACGAATTTTGGTTGGTAAATAAACATTTAAAATACCGTATCGGGAATTATGC